AGAAAGAGTACTGTAAAGTTGCATTATGTAATACTAAGTTTGGTTCACTTGGTTGCCAAACTATTTCTTCATCCATTTATTCAACATCATTATAAATGTCACCCACTAACAAAAACATTTTAGACTTGCTCTTGTGACTTCTTTTTATTTAGATATTTCAATTGGTTCATCGCTTTGCGACTAGTCCAATTTGAGTCGGGTCCCGGGATTAAGATTTTAAATCCTCCCAAAAATAAAATGATACTGCGGAGGATCGTATACATGCTCTCACCCTCTGCTCAGTTACCTCACGCCAAATGAGCTACCATCATTTGGTGCTCTTGTGATCTCTTAACCACTTTTCATCGCGAGAGTAGTATAATAAGCCCAACTCTTTCTTCTTATTTAATTCTTCAGATAATACTCTTTTCATAGGAATGAATGGTGGATGGGGAAAAGCTAAGGGGGGGATTTGTCGTGCGTGGAGTATTACTACTAGAGTCAGGAAAGGTAATTTGATAAGCAAAATTATGATTCACTTGATTTTTTGAAGAAAACATGAAGAAAGACTTGATTTCTTGGTGATGTGCGTCGTATGTGACTGCTAACTACGTGGCATGGTGCAGAGAAACAAGCTATTGTAAGTTTGTAACTACACGATCCTCTTTAGTTCTTGTTGGAGGTCGGAAAAAAAAAACTCAGCAACATGTCGTCAGGGACACCAGGCACTTAGTTCAATAGGCTCTCAAAGTCTTATACATAATCACGCAACATACGATTTTGAGAAATTTTGGATAAAACAAATTTTAGACAAAACTCCATGAAAATCCATATGTGATGCCACACCAAAGCTCTGACAAACAGCCCACGTCAAATTGTCCCGAGAACATATTAATCGTGTCCCTATATAAGCTTGTGTATACTTCCTTATACATGCATTCATCAGAGTACAAGACCCATTTATAAGCTTGTACATCAGCTAACCGAAAATACTATATGTAACCACCTCAACACTGTTGAGCACCTCTAACAACCTATCTCTAAATACACGTTGGAGCATATATTTTTGCATGTGTATATTACACATATGCACAAAGGGGCGTATTGAAGTATGGTAAAACTGTTCTTTCATGACTGAAAGGTCAAAAATAGTCTCTTTGCAATTATGTAAGTATAAAGCTGTATATAAAGATTACCTCCACCCCACACTCGCTAGTCGAGTTTAACTGGAGTGATTTTTAGATGAGAACTGAAAGGGAGGACACGAGAAATTTTTAGCAAATTTTAACACTCCAAATGTCTTATATATATATATATATATATATATATATATATATATATATATATATATATATATATATTGTTAGTCATTTGTTGATATTGACACTTGTGATATTTTATATTGGTCATGGTTTTTCTGGCGCCATTTTGTCCCATTTATTGGGTGTTTCTTTATTTTGTTGTTTGGTTTGATTCTTGTTCAGAGTTTCGAACATCTGACTACTAATTTATTTTTTTATCTTGATTATCTTATACAATGCAAAATCTAATATGATAGTTTATTTCTTTGTGATTGTGTCTTCAATTCAGTGCATCAATGGGCATATTGCTTGCTCCAAATGCTGTTCCAAACTTGTGCATAAGTGTCCCTTTTGCACAATGCCAATTGATTACAACCGTTGCCTTGCTATAGAGAAAGTACTAGTGTCACTTCAAACAGCATGCCAAAATGCAACATATGGTTGTAACGAGATAATAAGGTACAACAAGAAATATGAGCATGAGAAGACATGCATCTACCTACCATGTTCATGTCCTCAACTAGGTTGCAACTTTGTTGCCATGTCAAGCAACTTATATCTCCACTTCAACGAAAATCATATGAATGAGGAAATATCATTTAAATATGATGAATTTTTCTGTGTCTTGCTAAGCCGTAATGAGGACACCATTGTTCTTCAAGCGCAAACTGATGGCAAACTATTTGTTCTAAAAAATAAGGTATTTGAGAATCTGGGTAATGCAGTGACTATTTGTCACATTGGACCTAATTCACTATACCCGGTTTCTCATTATGAAATTAAAACAAAGTCTGAGGTGGAAAACAAATTTCTACACTACCGTTCTTCTGCCAAAAACATTCAAGGCCGCACATTTGTCATATCTTCATCAACAAAGTTTCTTTTGATTCCATTGGAATTTTTCAATTCTAATGGAACACTCACACTGGAAATTCGCATAAGTTTATCTCACTTGAAGTTGAAGGCAGTCCATTTGTGTTAGTGTGGTTTACATTTGTATTGGATATGGAAATTATTTCTGGGGTTGGTTCCTTTATGCACTGCTTCTGTTAGAGTGGATTTGTGTTTTACTTTAATTTTCTAGTTACTAGAAGTCTAAAACTCTGTATGCTTTCGAGTTAGTTTGAACTGTTGTTATTGTGTGTACTCTCGAGTTAGTGACAATGTGTGTCTTTCTTGCATGTTGAATATTTAATATATGACATTTGAGTTATTGGAATGTTTTGTCTGTATAAGTATTAAAAAAAATGCCAATTCAATTTTATTAGTACTAATTATTTCATTTTAAGAACTAAATTGAGTTTCCAAATTAATAGATTTTAGGGCATATTTGAATTTTTATACTCAATATTGAATACTAAATGCTGAAAACTGTATCTCAGTTTTTTAATTGCTTAAAATATATTAAGAAAACCATAAGCACTTACTACGATTAAAAAAATTGTAGGCTTATAATAAATAAGGTAAAAAAATGACTATAAACATTTAATCATTTAAGTAAAGGTAATTTTTTTAAATATATTCAGCAGCTATTGATGTTAAATATGTACACTATTAATTCAGTTTTAATGTAAATTTGTTTATTTGGCATTAAACTTTTTGTTTGGAAGACCTATTTGGCATTAAATTTATGTTAGCAAACTGCATTCCCTTAATATACGGATAACAATACATTCAATAATATTGAATATGAATTCTAAGAATCCATTACTGTTTTGAATTTCCACTACTTAAAAATGCTATTTTTTCAACGAAAAAATTCTGGTGAAAACCGTAAAAATCTCTTCTTCAATTTTTGAAGGAATATTATTCACGTCCAAAACGTCAACATAATATATTTTCGTCGAATTCTTTGTCATTAATTTTGACAAAATATTTTCCGTCAAAAACTAAGACTTTTTTCTAGTATTGTTACGAGAATCCATAAATAAAAAATCACGTATGGCACAAAATTAAATAATTTTTTTTATAAAGTTAATCATTTGGAAAAAGTTTTAAAAAGTGGCTTATTAATGTAGACGTTAATAAGCTACTATATATCTAAACCATTCTCAAGATGAACCACGTTTTGTGTATATCCCGCATAGTAATAAATATATAGCTATTTCATTTATGAATTAATATAACTATTACATATTTTAGTACTCAGATCCACCCTACAGTACTGTGAATGAATAAAATTAATGTGAGTCAGAGTTTAGAAGTATAACTAGTTATATTTTTAAACTCTCACTCACATTAATTTTATCAATTATTATTAAATCTCGACAGAAATGAATAAATTTTATTAAGTTTTAAAAAAGATGTTACGTAGTGTGAAGAGCAAGGAGATGGTCGTTTTCAACATGTTTGACAAAATAAACAAATATTGGCATCGTAAAGCTGTGTAACATGTCACAAAAGAACCAAATATTCGTAACTCTCACTCATGAACTTTCTCCAAAAAAAGTGAACATAATACTTTTTATGACATGATTGGTCTATTTGAAGAGAAAGATAAAAGGACCTTAGTGAGAGGGAGGGGAAGAAGTGCATCACATGAAGAAGAGAAGAGAAAGTTGAAGCATTAAAGAGAGACAAATAAAAAACAAAAAGGCTTCAAAAATAGAGATACATACAAAATATTTCAGAACTCACACCTAGAGGTGAAAGTGGGCTGGTCTGGCCAAGCTTTGCCCCGAAAAGTCCAAATCTATACCAATAATTTTTAATTTAGCCTGGCTCAAGTCTAGTACGAGTCTAACTGTTAGTCTGACTTGGTCCGTTTATAAAAAAACAAATGGTCTGACCTAGCCTGTTGGCCTGTTAATTTTTAACTTTCAAGCAGAATCATGAATCAACTTCACAAAATATTCAAATTCTGTTGTTAAACCAAAAATCACAATTTTAATGTCCAAACAGAATCATGAATCACAACAAAACTCATCACAATCTGCATTTAAATCACTTTCAAAAGCAAAATGCTCAAACTAAATAACATATATTTCGTCATATCCAACAAACAAATCCATATTATGTAAAATAAAATAACTACATGAATTCAACAAACACATCATGATGCTTGTAGTAAGTATAACTTCTCCTAAAAATCTTTTAATATATTCATATACGCAATCTAACATGTTGAGATGTTGGTTCCTTCTACATAAGAAATAAAGTCAGATTTCTATTAAAATATAATCATCTATAATTAAGTTATAAATAATTACAACTGATTAAATTTATATCTTTTATTTTTTCTTTAAGGCATGCTTATTCGATTTTATTTTATTTAAAATAAATAGTACAATATAGACCAACCTGTAGACTTATAAGCCAAGCCTTGTGAAAGTGGGCCTACGGCTTATTTATTAAACAAGCTTTTTTCAAGGCCCAAGCCCAACATATTTATGAAATATACTAGGTCAGGTCTAACCTTACGTAGGCCGAGCCGTAGGCCCCTGTAGACCGACCCGACGCAGGTTCACCCCTACTCACACTCACACAATATAATTATAGTTTTGAACTTCAAAGCTTGACTCATCTTAATTTTATCAATTATTTAAACTTAATAAATTAATGTTAAATCTTATATTGTTTAAACTTAATAAATTAATGTTAAATCTTATATTGAATGAATAAATTTTATTAACTATAAAGTAAAATGTAAATCATTGAATTTAAAATATTCATTTATTATAATATTAAATATTACTTTATGAATTTTAAAAAATTAAAAAAGTTAATTTTGAGAAAGTTAAAGTTTGGAAAATTTATGGACAATTCAAAATAGTTAATTTATTACCAAAACTAAAGAGTTGAATTATATATATGAGTAATTAATTTGATTCCTTCGAACTCTATATTGTCTAACTGTACATGAACTTATCTATTGAATAAAAATAAAATGAAAATCATTAATTTTTTTAATTATAAAGCAAATATAAGTACATTTAAATAGAATATTCATATATTAAATTATTTAAAATATTATTATTTTATTAACTTTATTCTGTAATGTCTGTTTTAAGAACGAGCCAACCGACTTTATCGCCCTCCTATTGATTGAAGTAAAAATAAAAAAATACAAAAACTATTTTAATCCTTTAAAGAAAAAGTATTTATATTAAATTTTTGTGAAGGATTAATGTGGATCTTCTTTAAATTTTAAAGGGATCACAAATCAATTTTTTATTTATAAAAAATTAAAATAAGTTCCATATTTTTTTTGGTGAGAACTCAAAAGGGTTACTCTTAAAGTAATATCAAATTTAGCTAATCGATGTAATATAATATATATTTTTGGATTGGATACTCTCATGTACTAATTAACGTGATCATGTCATATGAGAAATCATAATCATACATGAGTAAGTTAATGGTGATAAGGAAGGAGAGAGAAAAAATATAAGGATAGGAAGTTACACATTCATCACCGTTGATGGTTAAGATCCTCTCACATGACATGATCATATTAAATTACACATGACATGATTCATTTCCTATTTTTTTTCATTCTTTTTCTATTTCTTTAATAAAACTAGTATATTACCCGTGCGATGCACGAGGAAAAAAGATCAAAATTTTTGTCGTTCGCCGTGGTTGGTTAATCGCACTGTAAATCTTATACTTACAAAAAATTGTGTTGCTATTTTGTTCTATATTTCTGGTGGAAAAAATTACAGCATTGACACAGAACTTTACAAATATCAACCACAAACAAAAATATGCTATTCAGAGGGATAATTAATTTTGCATACAATTACATCATAATTACGTTATAATACACCATGTTAACATAAGGAAGGGATATAAAAAAAAATGCATACAAATCATTGCTAACTATAACATTCATCAACAAAATCAAGGTAACAATAACACCAAGCAAATATGGATTTAAAAGATCAACTTTTACTTATAATATGAAAACGTTATTCATTCAGTGTAATTTCGTAGCAATCATTGGAGGGATGAGTTCAACACTTACTAAACATGTCATTTCCTGTGTGATTTTCGTTCCTTGTGCCTATGATACAGAAGGCAAAAACTCATTAAATAAGTAACACTAATATGTTAACACCCAAAAGTCATAATATCAGCAAAAAAAAAAAGATTGGATTAAATTTTTTATGGACCAAAAAAAATATTGTCGGAACGGGATTTGAATGCAACTTAAGCAAATAAGCATGTACGAGTCATATTTTTTGCTTACATTGCAACAAATGCATGTAAACAGAACCAAAGCAACTATACTAATCTTTGAGATAGACTTTCATTTATTGCAATCACATTTAAAAAATAATAATAAATAATTATTATTTGCAAGGATCTGTGTCTTTAGTATTTGGAATTTTACAAATTTGTATTTACAAAAATTAAAATCAGATTTAGGAATATAATTGTAAAAGAAGAAGGATGAAATTTTAATTTAATTATAAAAATGTGTTGGTGGGCCGACCCTCTAGGCCGAGTCCAGTTTGCCACCTCTAACTATCAGCATGTAAAAGGTTTTTATAGTTGCGTCTAGGTTTTTATATTTTAACTCAGATATGAACTTTCATTTACTACAATCACATTTATAAAATAATAATAAACAATTATTTTTTTTGCAAGGATTAGTGTTGTTAGTCTTTGGAATTTCACAAATTTATATTTACAAAAATTTAAATAAGATTTAGTAATTTAATTATAAAAATATAATGGCGGGCCGGCCCTCCGGGCCGAGCCCTGTTTTTCACCTCTAACTGTCAGCATTTTATATAAATAATTTTTTTTGCAAGGATTAGTGTCGTTAGTCTTTGGAATTTCACATATTTGTATTTACAAAAATCGAAATCAGATTTAGTAATTTTTTTTTGGTAAACATATTTAGTAATTTAATTATAAAAGAAGAAGTATAAATTTTCAAATGAATTATAAAAATCTATTGGCGGGCCAGTACTCCGGGCTGAGCCCAGTTTTTCACCTCTAACTGTCAGTATTTTATATAAATAACTATTTTTT